AAATTTTCAATACCCGTTTAATGTAAAGTGTATCACTGTACCCACCAATGTTTACTTATATACACATACAATATACAGCTTTTTTCCGGTCGACTGTTCAATCAGTCGCAGATATACAAATACATATACTTTCACACTTACTTGTGCTCAGCCCAAGTGACATCATACGGGCTTTTATATCCCGGAGGGTCCGGTATGGGCTCACTGATTTCTTTCAGTAGCTTCCGCTGATGTGTAAACCACACGCGACTGTTCTTAATGAAGTGAATCAACCCCATAGTTATTTGCTCGTATACTTAAAAAACAAGAGTATATATTCGACTGGTAGATAGATTGTAAGTTGAGACTGTGAACTATGGGTTGCCTTTATTTGGCCTTGATTCTGTCACCTAGACACACGGCTGCACACTACCATGAACTGTCGAAAGCAATGCGACCCTTATCACCTCAATACAATCGAAACGAACTATATATATAATATTCAGCGTTTGTTCACAATCTATGCTCAAAACGTTAGATATATGTTTAGCCGGTTTAAATACAAGCTGCACGTTACATAAATATGTACCAAAAGTACAACGTTTGTCTAATACATAGTCCCACGGTGAATCCGAAGATGAATGGTGTAGGGTTTTACGGTTCTTGGGGTTAGGGTTCTTGGGTCAGGGTGTGGTATGTGTATTTGAGCATACATTTTTCAAACATGTTTACGCGTATGTATTAATACACAACAAAGTGAAGTGAGCAACATACGTATACATACGATATTTTCAATATATCTATACATCTATATAACCGAATCCATACATATAACAGTGGTTACACTCTTAAGTTTACGCTACATATTCCATCATGATCGCCACAGATACGAACATAACACAGAGCGCTAGAATAGTAACGTCATGTAAAAACGTGCATTCGGAAAGTAATACCTTTATAATAGACCAAGATAAACTAGAAAAGTACCTTAGTGTGTATGGTACTGATTTAGAAAAACACAAGAGCAGTAAGTCGTGTGTATCGTTTCCGTTACGCTTTCCAAGTCCTCTGGTGGAGGTCAATTTTGTGTGTGTTTGGAATTCGCTCCGGTTTGGGCTGGGATTCAGTGACTTAGTGCAGAAGGCGACTGGCAAGGTGAGTTACAGGTGTTTCTTTGTATTTATGTATAAGCGTGTGTAATAATATGAACACAACACACATTCTCACAACATACATAC